CGCGGCTCGGCTCGCCTTCTCCCCAGGCCCGCCTGCCCCTCTGCCCTGGCCCTGGGGAAAAGCCCACCTCGGGGCCCTCCCCGTGCCCAGATCTCAACTTCTCTCTCCCTGAACGCCCAGAAGTCGCAGCCCTTCCGCCACCCTCAGGGAGCCCCGCCCAGGCCCCGGGAGGAACGGGCTCCAGCCGCCTGCGCTCCTGATCGCGCCCCAGGGAGGCTGGAGGAGGCGTTCGGGACCGCAGCTTCTCACATTCCAGCGCCCCTGTTTTGCCTCCACTACCTCTGAGAGCCCCGCGCCGGAGGGGGGGCTGCGCGCGCGTGTACATAGCGTGTGTGGGAGGGACGCGGGGGGGTGCATGTCGTGGGAAGGGTGACGGACTGCTTTCGAGCGGGCAGCGGACTCCCTCGGCCTTGCGGGCCGGCTGTGGGGACACAAGTGGGGGTTCCCCCGCAGCCTCGGAAGCTCCTTCTGCCCTCAGTGCCAGCCCGTCGGGGCAGGACCCTCGAAGAGGACCCGAGGGTCCCAGAGGACGGACGTTACGAGCCAGCAAACGCTGCCACATCTCTGCCCGGCGGGGCGGGGCGGGCCTGGGCCTGCGTTTTTAACTCTGGAGGCCTCCACCTGCCCGGTGGGCCGTCTGCGTTTTCTTACTGTTGCTGTCTGCTGCCCAAAGGACACATTTGGGGAGCTGGGAGTGCTGCCCACTCCTGGCAACCCCGGGATGACCCTGCCACCCCCACAACCTCCCGCTTCCCACAGGTCTTTCGCATTCTGTTGACCAGTTGTGCATCGGCCCCGGCACCGGGACGCGCCCCACGCCCCTTCTCGCCCAGCCATCGGTGTCACCATCTCCTCTCTGTGATTTCTGTACAAGTTGCCATAAAACTTTGAAACTCTGCCTGAAAAAGTCTTCCCGTGGGAAGTAGGGGTTCAGGAAGAGGGACCTCATGAAGTCGACTTGACCCAGATTTGGGCAACTGTGGAATAAACCAGGTAATTTGCGTCTTTAGAGTCCCCGGTTCTCCGCGGGACACGCCCACGTCGGTTGGGCGGGGTGTCCGCTGGCCACGCCCCATGCTGATCGGGCCTCCGTTGGCCACGCCCCCTCTCTGTTGCAGACTATTCCTCTTCTGGGGTCTCCGGGGAATAAACAAGAGAATTTGCCTGAACCAGAGAGCTAGGGTCCGTGGAGTTTCCTAAATACAGCAGTAGCCTTCTCAGAACCCTGACACAGGAGGTGTGTGTGCGCGCGGACAGGCAGGCACAGAGCCACTGAGCTACATCCCGGGCCTGGCAGTAAGAGCTAAGAGTGCTTTGGCTGGGATTTAAAGTTGGGAGCCTGAATGGGAAGATTTAACGGGGAGGGCTTAGGGTTGATCTTACCTGATTTACATTTCTGGAGAGGCTGCGGCAGGCACCCAGACAGCAGAAAGGGGTGACAAGAGGGATGGGGTCTGGCAGGGTGAAGGCCAGGAAGAGCATCTGGCAGGAAGGCGGTGGTGTATTCAAAAAAAAGGAGCCAGAGCCAGGTGCAGTGGTGCACGCCTGTTTTCCCAGCTCTCTGGGAGGCTGAGGCAGGAGCATAGCATGTTCAAGCCTAGCCTGGGCGATTAGCAACTTAGTGAGAATCTGTTTCAAAAATAAAAAGGCCTTAGGTCCAATAATGCCCAGCATCACCAAAAAGAACAAGGGCCAAGGACCTAGCTCGGTGGTGCTGCCACCTGCCTCGCAAGTGCGAGGTCCCGTGTTCTATCCCCAGTACCAGGCTCCATAAGGAGAGGGAGGGGCTGGGGACGAGGAAGACGCCGTGCCCAGGAAGAGCAGCAGGGAGCACAGGGGCCGCGGGGTGAGCGGAGGCGGAGGCTGCCCGAGAGCCTGTGGCGAGGCGCCCAGCGCGCAGGCGGCCCACGGAAGACCAGAGAGCTGAGGCCAGAAGAAGCAGGGAGGTGACGGTCGGGAAAGTGGGCGCCGGGAACAGTGAAGCCACGGGAAGAGAGTGCGGGACAGACCCCTGGCAGGAGTGATGGGTCTGGGGGAGCAGTAGGGGGGCAGAGTCTGGGTGACCTGTAGTGAGGAGGGAGTGCGTGGGGAAGCTAAGTCGGCGCGTGTGAGCTACGCTGCAGAAGGCAGAGCAGGAGGGGGCTTCCTGACCCCAAGGGTAAAAGGAGCAGGCGAGGAGCGGAAGTCGTGGGAAGGACACCCGAGGGGGGGTGACAGTGCGGGCACCACCCCTGTCCACCGCCAGCCCTGTGTCGCCCTCTGCCGGAAGCAGCAAGCAGCGCAGTGAGGGGAAGCAACCGCCCATGGCCTACTCAGCCGGAAGGGCGCAGAGAGGGGACAGGGACACCTGCGTCTGAACAGCACCAACTGGAGGGTGGGTGCAGAGCTAGTGTGGGCTTCGAGAGGCGCGTAGAGAGCTTGGGCGGCCACTCGGGGCTCAGCTTGGGGCTGCCTGACAAGGCCACCGAGGCAGCACAATGAGGTGACTTCTCTGTGCCTCGATTTCCATATCCGGGAAACGGGGTGGCTGCTGTGAGGAACACGTGAATGTGTATTAGAATAATGCCTTGGCCGGGGTGGTGCCACACACCTGTCATCCCAGCACTCGGGAGACTGAGACAGGAGGATCACCATGAATCACAGCCTGCGCTACGTAGTCAGTTCAAGGCCAGCCTGAGCTACATAAGGAGACCGTGCCTCAAAATGATGTAAGCCTGTGATTCCCTCAGCTGCAGCACAGGGGCTGCTTGTCACAGCAGCACGATGCAGCCTGTGCTGACTGACAGGGTTCACCCTCTCTTCTCTGTCTGTTTCCAAATGTCTGTCCCGATATCTGCATGTATCAGTTACCTATTGCTGGGTAACAAACAGCTCCTCTCCCTGAAACTCACTGGCTGGAGACAATGGTGTATTATTTCTTGCAATTATTTGTATTGATAGAGCAGTTCGTTTCCATGTGGTGTCAGCTGAGGTCTTCTGTGACCGCAGTTTGCAAGGTGTCCTCACCCAGGCCTGGCAGTGGGCCCTGTCTTCCCTGCAAGGCTGCCGCCTTCCCCACTAGCCAGGCTCCAAAAGCACCATGGTGTGAGCTGCAAAGCCTCAGGTCCTGTACCTCATCGTGGTGGTTCCAAGACTCGGGTAGGAGAAGCAGGTGCCACCCTCCTGATGGGGGGACTTGTGTAGAGGAGCAAAACTGCTGGCAGCCACTGGGCTTAGTACCAGCTCCCCAAAGGATGTCCTTGTCCTAATTTCCAGAGTGTGTGCCTGTGTCACACTCTGGGACAAAAAGGATCTTGAAGACATAATTAAGGATCATATTGTAGGTTATCCTGGGCCTTCTAGGTTGGCCTGAGATGCAGTCACAGGTATTCTTGCAAGAAGAAACAGAAACCTAGTGTGGTGATGCAAACCTGTAATCCCAGCACTTGGGAGGCTGAGGCAGGAGGATCGCTGTGAATTTGAAGCCAGCCTGGACCACATAGTCAGTTCAAAGCCAGCCTGAAATACATAATGAGACTGTCTCCAAAATAAAAACAGCTTATCAGATTGGAGTGACACAGCCCCATGCCAAGGAATACTGGCATTCATAAACTTCCAGAAGCTTCTAGACACTTCCAGAAAATAGAAGAGGCAATAACTGGTTTCTTCTAGAGCCTCCAGAGGATACAACCCTACTATCAGCTTGATTTTGGCCCAATAACTCTGACTTTGGACTCTCGGCTTCCAGAAGTGTGAGAGAATAAATTTTTGTTCTGTTTTAACACTAAATTAGTGTGAATTTGATACAGTAGCATCTTTGGACACGACTCCCCATGGCCTCTTGACTCCTAGTCCTTATTTATCTCTATCTCTTGAACTGTCTTGAAATTGTGGTACAAATTCACATAACAAATTTTCCCATTGTAACCACTTTAAGGGGAAAGTTACAGCTGGTGTACTCTTGTAGTCCCAGCACCTGCGGTGGCGGAGGCAGGAGGATCTCAAGTTTGAGCCCAACCTTGGCAACTTAGTAACTTCTGTCTCAAAGTAATAAAGCAGCCCTGGGCTCAAACCACAAACAATAAAAAATAAAAAGCGGCCAGCCCGATGGCATTTACTGTCCTCAAGATGTATGAAGCCAGGGCTGGGGATGTAGCTCAGTGGTACTGTGCTTGCCTGGCTAGTGCAAGGTCCTGAGTTCTTTCCCAGTACTGGAAAAAATGTAAAGAGGTATGAAGCAATCTGCACTGTCTTTTTCCAGAACTTTGTCATCACCCCAAAAGGAAAACCTGTTCTTAGCAGTCGCCCCAGCCCCTGTCTGTGGACCTGCCCACCACACACATCACCTAAGTGGAACCTTAGTTCAGGGGCGTGGCAGCACTGGGATCCTTTTCGTGGGTGAGCAATGCTCCCCTGCACAGACAGACCACATCTGGTGGGGAGGGAAGATTTATTTTACAGAATCGGTGGGTGTGACTATGGAGGCCCTGTCCAGACTCTGCTGGTCCAGCTGGTGGGCTAGGGATCCAGAATGAGCTGAGGCCAGTGACAGATGCTGCCAGGGGCACTTCCTGCCTCCTGCTTCCGGTGAGAAGCTGTGTGGGCACCAGCCAGGGAGCCAGTGACAGCTGCTTCTCTTTTTTTTGGTACCGAGGTTCGAACTCGGGTCCTTGCGTGCTTGCGAGGCAGGCGGCGGAAACACTGAGCTAAATCCCCGGCCCTGAGAGCTGCTTCTGTTGACCTCATCCGTGCCCCACCTGTGTCCCCCTGGAGACTGAAGGAGACTTAGGGAGGACATTTTCTTTCTTTCTGGTACTGAGGCTTGAACCCAGGGCCTTTGGACTGAGCCACAGCCCCAGCCCTTTTTATTTTTAAGACTTAGACTCCTCCCTAAGCCACGAAGTTACCCAGGCTGGGCTTGAACTTGGATCCTCCTGCTTCAGCCTGCCAGGGATCTGGGATTACAAACCTGTGCCATTGCCCAAAACTCTAGGGAAGAATTTTGAGCACCTAAAGCTGCGGGAGAGGAAAGAGCAACCTTCAGGCCCTCAGCCCCTCTCCTGCATCCTTGTCCCTCTCCCCTGTAACCTTCGCTGTGAGGTAGAGGGGGCTGGGGTCAGCAGAGGACAGAGAGAGGCAGAGCCGGGCCTTGGAACAGAACCGTGGGCCAGCAGCAGACAGGGGCAGAGTCAGAGAGCCAGAGAGGGAAGCCAGAGACTCAGGCAGGCGGTGGAGCCGCAGAGATGGGGGACACCCTCCCCCCCTGCGCACACAGAGCAGCAGGGGTCAGGAAGAGACGGCAGTGACCAGGAGACAGCAGGACAGAAAGTGTAAGAGAAGCCAGAGAGCAGCAGCAGAGGAAAGCAGACCCAGACGGGGGCAGCTCGGAGCCAGGGGAGAGCAGCTGGGGTCTTGCGGGCCGGGGGTGCTCCCGTGGCCTCTGCCAGCCGTGGAGAATGGTATGATTGCTGGGCAGGCAGAGGGGAAGGGGCGGCGGTGACAAATGCACTGCCAGAGTCGCGGGCTGCCGTGATGGGTGGCCTGGTGGCGCTGGAGGGGACCCAAGATAAGTGTTTCCTTCTCCTGGAGCCAGGCAGGGGAGGGACAGGGGCGTGGGGCCTGGGCAGCAGAGTGCATGGAGCCCCTGGACAGGGTCGGGGCAGAGACGCGGTGAGGCGGAAAGCAGAGAAAACGCAGGGACAGAGGTAGGAAGGACTGGGGAGACCTGGACACTCGGCCCCTGGCAGAGAGAGAGATGGAGGAGGGCAGCTTCCCCACGCCCTGAGCACAGACAGGGACCCCAAGTGCCTAGCAGCAAGGGAGGGGGGCAGAGGCTGGGCCCCTGGGAGAGGAAGAGACAAGCACAGCCGTGGACAGGGCGGAGCTGGCTTGTGGAGGAGCTCACCCTGGGGTCCTGAGCAGGGCCTTGCTCACAGCCTTGGGGAGCGGGCCCTGGGGCCGCTGGGGACCCCGGGAATAGCGCTGCTGGAGTGGCCTGAGCTCACCTGCCGAGTGGGACAGGAGGGTCCTGCCCAGGCGTCCTGGGGTTCACCGGCTACTCCAGACTGCGAGAGGCGGGCACGGCCTGAGGCCCTCCCGTCAAGGCAGTGGGGCGGCAGAGGGTGACCCCTCTCCAGGCCCAGATGCACACCCAGCTGCGCTCGAGGGCAGCAGCACAGGCCTGACGCTGCTTCCAGGTGCTGGCTAGGGGGCCCCGGGAAGGACACCGCTCCAGGACAGGCCTGTCTGCCACCTGCCATCCCCTAGAGACAAGGTCCGAGGACAGAGAAAGGGAGCTGGCTCGGAGGCGTCAGGCAGGGTGGCTTGTGTGTGTGACAGACTGGACCACGCAGCCTCCTCCTCCCTCCACTCCCCACTTCCCTTGCGCAGGTCGCCCCAGACCCCCCTACTTTTCCCTTTCCAGTACTGTTCCCTTTCATTCATTAAGAAGATTTGTGCTCCACCCAGTCCAAGCTCTTTTCCAGTTTTGAGGCTGCGGGGTCCCCTGAGCTCTGAGTGGTGGCGGCCCCCTCCCTCCCTGCCCCTCCCCCCAGCCCTCTCTGCTCTCCACTGACCCCCAGGGGGGCTGGGACCGTCCGCGAAGCCCCTGCGTTCAGAGGAAGCCAGGCAAAGACAAGAAGACCTCAGCACCCCACACGTGCACACAAACCCCAAGGCACAAATCAAGGCTTTGACCCCCCCACCTCTGGGCCCCACCCTGAACTTCAGCTGGGGTCGGGGCGGGGCAGGCAGGAGAGCTTTGCATCTTTAATTACAAAGTGCCTTTAATTAATGATGTACTCCTCAGGGATCAGGGGCCGCTCTCCCTGCATTAAAGGGCCAGCATCTCCTGCCGGACTGTGGGTGGGGACCCCAGCCTCAGTCCAGGACCCCAGAGCCGAGCCCGTCCTCCGTTATCTGCCCTGCAGGATGGAGCAGTTGAACAGGGCAGGGTTGGGCTGATTTCCGGGGAGGCCGTGGGCCTGGCCACAGCTTGGCTTAGCTGCGTGTGGGCTGCAGAGACAGTGGGGAGACCGACGGGGAAGGAGATAGAGGGACAGACACCAGGAGCAGGAGCCTGGGAAAGGAGGATAGGGGATGCGTCCCTTTCTGTCCCCGACACAACCTCCATCTGACCAGCGCCCCCCCAGTGCTGGGGCCACAGCACCCTGACCCCTGCTGTCGCTGGGGGATGAGGAGCGAGTCTCTCTCCTCTCTGGTGTGCCCGTTCCCCTCAGCTTGGGTCTGCGTCTCCTCTCCCTAAACCCTCGCAGGTCCCAGGCCCCCCAGCTGAGGGCTGTCCCTGTCCAGCCCACCACCGGTTTTACTGTGTCCGGTTCACACACCTGTCACAGCCTCCCCTCCCTCCTCCCATCCTGAGCCACAGGAGGCCGAGGAGTTAGTCTCTCCTCCCCGCGAGGTGCCCAGAACAGCACCTGGCCCTTAGTAGGTGCTCAGGAAATTGCACTGCACAAACCCTTGACCTTATCTCACCGGAATGCCTGTTTCCAAGCTTTGCTAAGCGCTGTGGGCCTGTAACACGACGCACAATTTACCTCGGGGTTTGCAGACACCACGGCCCCCCTGACAACAGCCGCAGGGACTTCAGAATATGGACCCTCTAAAGGCAGGGGGTCACAGCCCGCAGAGGGACAGAGGGACACACACACATACACACACACACACACACACACACACACACAGTGTCCTCTCCCAGGCAAGGAAGGGAATGGGATCAGGGCAAGACGAAAACTAAAATAATACAGGAGTTTGGGTTTCTTCTTGCCGCTGGTTCTCTCTGATCCTGTCTCACAGAGAGGGGAACCACGGGGACTGGAGTGAGAGACAGGAAGGGTGGCCCGGGTGGGGGAAGCCGGTCGGAGAGGGACGGCCGCTGAGGGGGACAGGGTTAGACGTATCCTGGGAGCCTCGAACACAAAGGCCGTAGGGTGGGCGGCTGCGGGCCAGAGGCGCTGGAGCAGGAGGAGGGGAAGGGCGAGGGGAGGAAGGGAGGGG